ATAGTTTCATTTTTGGCACAGATGGTCCAATGAATTTACTTAACTAATTAGTATTGTACTTATTAAGGCGAATATATTAGTTTTCCAAGCTACAGGAGGGCGGGATTGGTTCACTCTGTTATCATTACAGGAGCAGATGTCACTATAGCGTGTGCTACTATTTATTACATAGTTTTAATAATTTACCACATTTTAAACACGATAAGTATTTTACTGTTTGAGCAGATGTGGATGTAATCTTGCGATCTCTCCCACACGCACTCGCATGCATCTAGAAGTGACTCATCAACTGTGTTTACCCGTATTGCATGTGAAACATACAAGTGATGTTTTTTTCAAAATAAACCAGTCAGACAATTTAATTGCATTATTATTGTTATTATTATTTTATCATTATCATTATTATAAACTTACATTTAGTTTCATATCAGTGTGTTGATATCATTTATGTGTATTGAACATAAGGTTATAGATTCGAAATATGTATCAGGCCAGCTACCAAACCAGCGTAGTTTTCTTGAGCAGTTGGAAGAATTTCAGATTCTGGAAGTAAAAATCCATATTCGCCCTCATCCCGAAGCTCAATTGTATAGGAATAGATTATACCTCTATCGCCATATCCCCAGTCCTTGGCACCTCCTGCAACCAGATCTGAAAAAATGTCGATCGCAAAACAGTAAGGTAATTTGCATTTTAATTGCAAACATGGACAGCGTAGCATTACTGATTGTAAGTTCAATGTAAATACCATTCCTACATCCTCTGTATGTAAATGTCGCTCATTATCCATCCGAGTAAATGGTGAGATTTATCAAGATAAACATCTGTTGGGTGCGTGCGTGAATCGAACCGACACACACGTCGCCCAGCTACACGTCACGGCCAAAGGAGCTTTTTGTTCACAGAGTCAGTAAAAGCCGTACAACTCACACAGGGTGTGTGTTACATAGATATTAACAGTGATGAGCAAAAAAATAAATAAAACACGATTTAAAATCGAATGAACACAGTGATGATTTGGTCAAATTAAATTACTTACATCACATTAAAATTGCCTGAAGTAATTTTACTTTATTTTTAATTCTAATCGATTCCTCTGTTAACGATAGTAAAACTAGTAATTTGACTGCAATACATAATATGTGGTCGTATCATGCCACGTTAAAGTGAACGAATTGTTATTTTTGCAACAACAGTCTGTGACAGGTACATTGCTATTATTTGATATCGTATTTTCATGTCCAAACCATGTAGCTATAAAATCAGTAAAGGCAACCATATCACAATTTGCTATCCCCCTACCAGTATCAACTAAAACTCTGATGGCTTAAGTGTCACGACTCTACATGGTGGATTTCGCATGTTATGTGTGTGTCTCGGTGGAGTTTTACAACCCTTTTGAAATTTCGCAAATGAAGTGCACACACACACACACACACACACACAAAATCGATTGGACGAAAGTAATCCAAGTTATAAGTAAAATTCCGACCACCTTAATAATGTTCAATTAATGTGTATTATATTTAGCACACGCCCACGCCCAAACACACACGTATTTAACTTGTTTAAATTGAGTAATACTTACACAGTTGAGCTGAACCATTGCCGTATTCATATTGGACACCATGCACTGCCGCCATTGCATTAGTATGTACTGTCATGTGGTCATACTATGGGATAGTATATATGAAATTAATTAAATCAAATATCAATTAATTAAATCAAATGTCAATTATTTAATTACATTCGTTTACAATAAATTAACACTTGCTTTTGTAAATGCAAGTGAGGTCGGTGATGATTGAATCGGCAAGAATTGTACATTCCTATAAACTAAACGTGTTTATCGTTGCTTGTGACATTACTAATTAAATCACATTGTTTTTCGGATATGTATTTGAGTATAATTTACATATATGCGTAATCAACACACGGCCTACCATTGCAGGATAATCAGCAGGAAGATCGTAGGTATATCCCCAAGGTGACAACATTTTTTGAGAGTAGTTATGATAGTCGATAAATAAATCAAATGGTTGTGTGACTGACTGTGCCCGAATAAAGTTGACAACACTTTCTACTTCTATCTCAGATAGTGGATGTGTTCCGCGGTACGTAGATGAACAAGGAAAATCGCTGGAGCCCTCGCCTGCAAGTGTTAATTACATACATGAAATTTATAATTATGTCATGGTGTGTAGATTCAACAATGTTGAATGCAACATGCAACACATTCTGACAAAAACGTATGTCGGTATTTCTTCCGTTCGTCTGTACGTGCGACCGTCCGTCCGCCCGTACATGTTGATATGATCTTAAAATTTGAACTAACCATGTTTGAAAATATTTGTAATTAACAAAAAGATGTATCACTCACCGTCCCATGCGAAGTCATAGTTACGATTCATGTCAGTTCCCATACATTCATATCCGTCGTTAGGACTTCGTGATTTACGCCACATTCGATCCTAAAATCGATAAATCATACTGCCGGCAATGATATTTTTTACTTATTATAAAATCGTACATTCTGATGACGCTCAATTTGTTACCTTGTTCACAAACAATCATTGGTATCTATATGTAATTCAATGCATTATTTCGTGCCAAATAAAATATACTATACTATACTATACTATATATACATACACAAATAAAGAGGCTATGACAACAAAGTTGGGATTGTATCCACCCTGCGCAAAACATGATAAACCCGTTCGAGGAAAATGATCAGATAGCAATGTACACAGCACAGCACGATACGAAAAACACGCGTTAATTCGGCATATAACTGAAACCCATTTTTCAAACAGCAAGCAATATAGAAACTCACGCCAGTCCATGTAAATTCATAGCCGTCCGGATTCATGACCGTAAGGATATAGAAATCGTACGTCTCTAATAAAAATGTAACATCGGGGTTCGTACCTTCCGTATAGTCCTTCATCAACTGTAAAAATATTTAACAACGAAAAAAAAAACTTCTCATAAAAATGAATAATCAACTCAATAGCAAATAATTATCAGGTAAACCTCGTCTGTAGTTACAAGTGAATTCAGTCGGACATAAATAAAAGCGCGCCAACAACTCAACGCGTATTTGTATGCGAGCATACAGCGAATATATGTACCTGATTAGTCATCCACATAACTGTAGCTGGTGATACCCATTCCCGGGAATGAATGCATCCATTGAACCATACTGCTCGTTTTTCTTTTCCAGTATCAGCACCGACCTGCAATTGTAGTTACATTACACAAAAAATTAGGTGAACTTCAGTTGTGATAATAATCTGGATTAGAAAGGATTGTTGTACACCGCACGTTTTGAATTTCAGGTAATGAAACGATATATTTAGCAGACGAGGTACTTGTCGCGGCGAAGACCGCTTCTTTATTTAATAATACTACATATATGAATAAAGTATATATTGTTCTTTAGATGATGTCATCAAGTTCGCACCAGTGTTCAAATTAAAAACAAAATTCGATCGCACCTTGAGAACAGGGAGGTCTCTTCCTTCGTAAGATGTGCCGATGTTGATGTTGGTGGCAAGGGTTGGATAGGTTACAAGAATTTCGGCGATCCAATCCATTATCTGAATTTGGAAAATGATGGATCGTTAATCACTAATTCTTAGTGTTAATATATATATATATATATATATATATATATATATATATAT